TACCGATGTATCGAGCCGGTGCTGCTAACCACCCAGACAAGTCTGGTAACAATTTGCCGACCCGAAAGGATGGAAAGTTCAGTTTTTTCGGAACGTTTTCAGTCACACGTTATACAGTGGGCTAGGTTAATGTCGGCCAATCAACCAGGTAGGATTATCAATGAGTGCTTTTCTTCGGCTCCAGTTTCGAAATAAGTTGCGATATTCTTACTGGTAATAAATGAGCAGTTTATCAGTATAAACTGTTTCGTATAGACCCTCGTTTGAGCTCGGTGTGGGTTACGCAGATAATGCATTCCGGCAAGTTAGAGCCCACTGCCGAATACTTCTTTCTCGGCTCAAAAAACTTCTCGGTATTGATCAATCCCTGAGGGATGTGCCATGCATTCGGCTTCATTAAGCATCGCTGAAGGTGATTTAACGCATACCTGACCACTGCAATAATTCGAGGTGGCTTGGTATGTATCAAACCAGTGATGCTGTTCGCACAGACAAGTCTGGTACCCATTTGCCAATCCCGCAGAGATGGAAGGCTTGGTGAGCCTAGTATGTGGGGATCGACCCCATGTATGTTGCAGGGTACCTCCGACCACTATGCTAAATGCCCTCTTACTATCTTGGCTTATAACATAATGTTGCGAAAAATGGAAGAAGGAAGAAGGGCACACATTTTGTTTTTCTCTCTAAATTGATGAACAAAGTGGGAATCACGGTGGCAGTGACCCCGCCGACTATGCTAACCGCTTAATCCACCCAGGCCCCGGTTCAATTCCGTTTTGGGTCAACCAGGCCTCTCAGTTTCCCATTGTTGAAGAATTGGGGCCAGCACTGTCTGGAGCAATCGACTCTTACTTATTAACGTGGCTTGCCGTAATACGGCTGGCTACCTTGAAGCCCAGCAACGAACGACTCGAACAGTATCAACGACATTAGCGACAAAGACGAAATTCTCAAGCTGCAGCCGAGCCTACGCACGAAAACTTCGAGATCCTTTGTGGAAGGAGGATACAAGGAAACAAATAGAAAGCATGAAGTGCTAGTATTGTACAATGTGATGGACGAGACGTCGGCTCATATAATCGCCGCTATAACCTATCGGCGGAGTTCGAGCGACTAGAAATTCCATCGCCATTAAATCCTCCATTTCTCCTTGTCGCGCCCTAGAGTAGCCAAGTACGTTTTGCTCACTCTAGGGACTCGTTGGTCATCAAATCTTCTGCAACGGGTTTTCTTAAAGTGTTCCGATAATTCACTGGATTAGAGCTCTTCTTGCTGTGCGTTTGACATCCGAGAAAGTACTGTAGCTAACAACCGTTGTCCATCGATTGTCGTACACAACTGGATCATTTAGAGATATTCACTATTCTGAGCGTGAAAGGAACAGAAGGAACTAATCCGTTCTTCATAAACATCGTTTTTGTGAGATTTAGGCGAAGACCAATTATTCTACAAGCCTCTTCAAACTCAGAAGGATTCGCTTCGGCTGGTCGAAGCTTGATGTTATGAGAACGTCATCACCAGACCGGAGATGGTGTAATTGCTGAGCATCGATTTCCGCTCCCATGTTACCCCATTCCATTGTTCGCCTTGTGTTCTCGAGGTGGCAGTAAGTGAATTTGGCAAAATGCTATTGCTTTGCCTAACACCTCGTTTGACGCCAATGTTAATTAATATCGCTGTGGAATGGAGATATTCTGGATACAATATCTTTATATAACTTGCGAATATTCTTTACGTACTAAAAAGAGATGCGCTGGCTGTACAGAATTTCCATGATCGCTTCCATTTCAGCTGAGCCGAAGACTTTCCTTAAATCAATAAAAGTGAGACAAACGGTCTCTTTTACTTTCATGATACTTCATTGAGTCTTGTATTAATTGTGTGAATGTGGTCGTTCGTGATGAATCCTATTTGAAATCCTATTTGCTCACGTGGTTGTTACTCATCCTGTGTTCTGTGAATCCTGTTTAGAATGAAACAAGTGAGAAGTTTGTAGACGACAGACATCAAGCAGATTGGTTGGGCGAAAATTGCCAGTGCCGTTGAATCACTGTTCTTTAACAATAACACGGTCTTGCTGGCCTTCCACTAAGTAGGAATCTAGCATTCTGACAGGTAACGTGTGAAGAGCCTACTCAGCGTGTTTACGAGGAGTGGCGGAAGGTTCCTCAGTTGTTCAGAGCTTATGCTGTCCAGTCTTGGCGTTATTTGGTTCTTCACCGACAAAGTAGTATGTGAGATTTCGAAAGAGAGAATCGGTGCTACAACATATCCATCCTGCTTTATTTCATATGAAGGCAGGAGAACGTGGCTATTCAAGAGATCTGAGTAGTAATCGTGAGTGCGTCCATTGCCTTTCTGGAAGCTGTACCTGTTTCATCTGGGCGTCGGAGCGGTATCATATTGGTTTTATAACTCGTGAAGTTTCGGTGGATTTTGCGAATGCTTTTCCCAGCCTCTGCTGCTTCGACCATTACTGCTGCTTTTCTCTCTTTAATGCCCCCTTTCATCGCCTGCCTGCATTGTCCTGCTGCTTCCGACAACAGTGAGCTTTCTGTATTCCGTGTGATCTCAAGTTGGCTTAGCAGTTTGAATGGTTCTTAAGACAAACGTCCCTTGTTGAAATTCGAACTCTCATCTTTAATAGCTTTAAGGTGAAGATGTCCACTAAGTCGGTCTTATTCTTCGTCAATGTTACCCATGACGACATCTTACCATGATCCAACTAACGAATTGAAAAAGTCCCTGTTTATGATGTTTTTGGGATTTCGTGTTTTGAGTCAACTTCTTCGTCTTCTTTTCACAAGATTTTCAGGAGACTCCGACATCGGTTAAGCAAAACATTCGCTTGCCATGATCTGGTCTATTTCGTTATGATACTCTCCATTGGGAGACTCCCCCGTCCTGCGTTGAGAGTGGGCTCATAGAATTGGAAATTACCATGAATGGCCTTGGTCGTTATGGTAAACTCAAGCAGCTGCTCACCCTGCTCACAGCCCTGGCTTTCCCAATGGAATAGCTTTACTCTTAGTTCGGTTTTCTGACATCCGAATGTACGTCAAACTTCGACACCGAGAAACACCATCACCCAAGCCACAACTAGGAGCTGGGGTGTGTAATACAAAAAATGCATCCGAAAGCTCAAACGAGATTAATACTCTTTACGAGTATACTTCTACAAATATAAAAGCATTCATTACTAATAGGAAATTCGACGAGGTGAACGAACCATGTTTGCAGCCACCATTTCATGTTTTCCTTTTTGCCGTACTTATGAAGCAATTGACAGAAAAGCACTTATGAGCTGTCAAGAGGTAAAGTAAATTGTTCGCGCACGGATACTCGTGTACATCTCACCCCTTACTCTGACCCACTCACGCTATCGTTGGTCAAACAATGGTCTCATGCTGCAGCTGTGAAGTGCATTCTCTTAGATTTACACAGTAGTTAGCGATGACACTTTTTATGAAGAAGAGTGTCCTAGGATTCCTTTCAATTTACTACTCGTTATTGTTTCTCATATTTATCTTTTTATCGTTCATTGCGAAATGCAGCAAAATTTCTTAGCGACTGCCGGCTCAAATTGTTGTTTCTTCTCGGTTTTCCTTCCTTCGTTCTTTTTTGCTCATAGAGTCATTCACAGGGGATTCTCAAAAAAACTAAAATTTAGTAGAGAATTGAGATTTTATTTCTTAGTTTACTAGACAGTGGAACGATATACGAAAATTCAACATGGACGAGAAATTACGGCGGTTTCAGACAACGAATTATTCGATACAGGGAGAACTCCTATATGTCCAGACGGTCAGCTGTCAAATCCTAAGAGAGCTGTGTTTAGGGAGTTGCCGAATTTTGTTCAGAAGCATTCGGTAGTTTTGGGTATTGAAGGAAGCGAGCCGTTGCCAGACTAGTCTGGTAGAAATTCATTAACCCCGAAATAATGGAAGGCTTTATGAGTCCGATGCGGGGTCGAACCAGTTCACTTCTTGTAATGGACGGCACCCCTACCACTGCCCTATTCGTTCCGTCTCCATCTAATAACTGTATTTATTTTCAAGTACATGTTGTCTTAAACTGGTAAGTCATCAAATATTCGAATCGTCCCCCGATAATTCTACGAGGAACGCATAACTGTGACATCCATGCCTAATATTAGGAAGGATTATGGTTTGAAAATCTTACGGATCCGGGAACAACCTTCGCGGAATGAATTTCAACTCCATCTTCACGGAACATAGCGCTTTGGGACTTAAAAAGTCCACTCACTATCAACGCCGTCTACTGAGATTCTTATGGTAATCTTTAAAAAATGGAAGAAAAAAAAAATGAAATCGTTCACTAGCAATCTTAACAATCTGACTAGAGGGAGTCAGCCTGTCCCAGACTAGTATGGCACCGATTCCCCGAAGTTTGTTAAGAAAAAAGATAGTGTAGAAAAAATGCAAACAAATAAAGAGAGAAATCTTGCAGATCGACAAATGGGTTTTGATAGTATTATTTTCGCAGAGATGCTGAGATTTCTGCAAAACTGAGCACCGCAGGTGTTTGAGTTGGGCATCGAACCTGTAACTACCCTTTCCTGGGGCTAACGTGTTCACCGACACATTAAATGTGTCCTTCGTTTCTCCTTTCTGTCAGCTAGTTTTTTATCTAATATCTATTTTACCTATCTAAATATTATTTTCGTTCGTATGAATTGTATATGGGAACCTCCAGTTTCAACTTTTCATTTCCACAATACACTTTTCCTACACTTTCTCATGTGCTGTTGAATGCACTGCCTGCCGACTTCAACTTTTTTTAGTGAGGGCATTAAAAACACATAACTTCCTGTATTTACAGTAGACGCGTTTAATGGAAGTGCTTCGTATTTATTACTAATTGTTCGGGTCACGCATGTTTCCTTTCTACAGTAAAGGTCAAGATCTCGTTCGGCAACTCTATTGACCGTTTCACTGTGTAGTCAATGAAGTAGTTGTCACAATGGAGAAGTGAACAAATTAGTCCGTGGTCCGCTTGCGTTTCTGTCCTCCGTCAGTCGCAAGTCGACGGTGACCACAAGAGGTCGCAATTGAGACCGACAACAATCGCTTCCACTCCCCATCCACGGCGACACTCACAAAGGCAACCACCACTCCACCACCGTGTCCGAAGACGAATTGTCCTCGCCGTCTGCCCGCCTTCACATCCGGATCCGGTACCATATTTTTAGTGTCTCAACCTAGCTTACCAAACAGCTCACACTTTTTTACTTACAACAGTAGACTCCGAAATTGCAGCCATCCTAAGGCCTACTATTCTCTTGTGGGGTTTTTTGTTTCTAGAAAACTGCCGCGCTAACTGAAATTCAGTTTATAATTTTTTTCCTAGAGGAATGCGTGAAATCGAACTGATTCAAAACAAAACTTATAGTAGATATATCTCTGTTTCCTGCTAATCTAACCCACAGTAGTGTGAAAAATTCGAGTTCCGTCAATGGCGCTTTCCCTTTCTAATGGCGTAATGTCACGCCCTCTACAAAGTTTTGAAATCATTTGCATAGTGAGCTTCGTAAAAATGCTTCATATATACCTTTTGCAGACAAACACTGTCATAAATAATTTGATGTCTTCTTGATAAACACACGCGAGATGGTTACCATAGGATTTATTTATCCTCAAAAGCTAACTTTTCGGCGAATTTGTCCTCCTTCAGAACCTAGACACGTAAAGTTACCTGCATCCCAGGAAATCACCTGGATTTTTTTTGAACAATGAAAAAATATGCTCATCAAAATATTTTATCTACTTAGAAAGGCAGAACTGTTAAGAAAGGATTATTGTTGGTCACAAGAGAAGTTGTGATTCTCCGTTGTAGATCTTTTGAATCCACGTTTTCATCTCATTAATTCTTCATCCTAGCTAAGAACTATATAATCATTTTTCAAGGTTGCTTGATTCTTGGTCGATTTCATTATTAGGAAAGGCTTCTTCCTTCGTTTTTCTCCACGCATTTCTTCTCTGTTTTTTTCTTCTCTGAATTAACAAACAAATTTACAAACAAAAAATATTCGTAATAAATCCTACGACCGTTTTTCTATTAACTTCGGCATTGATCATGTAATTCTTCGTATTCTTGTCGAGCAAACGCGAGGTGTCATTTTTATTCTTTATTCACAAATAAGCTGGCGTTTCGACGGATTTCGCCTTCCTCAGAGCCTGGAAAGGTCAATTTGCCAGTAATTTATTCGGCCAAACACCTCCATGACCAAACAGAGAAAACGCAAAACCAAGATTTCAATCACACTGAACACAACTTTGCACCCTCACCACTTCCACTGAGTAGGTCGCGTGGAGACCAACCGCACAGAATTCACATGAAAGCGTAATGTGTTCCTCCTATCAGAATAACAGCTTTATATACTGTCCAATATCACGCGTGATAATGAGGCATTCTTCCCTGCGGTTCATTTTCGGATTTCTCGAATTAATCCAGAACGCCTCGAGAGTTTTGCGCGCTTGTGTTCTCGATTCCTACGCTAGGATCGTAACTCGTACTTCGAAGTTGTCCCCGTTATGTCTCTGCGTCCTATGAGTGCTTAGTGGAGTATTTGGTTTAAGTTTACCGACTAGATGTTCTTTCATACGCACGCAGAGTTGTCTACCCGTTTCGCCAATGTACTCGTCCCCGCACGCCTTACAAGAGATCAGATAAACTGTACCTGAACTCATGCAATCACCGTCTCTACCATTTGGGCAAATTATGCAATTTTGCGTTGCACACAGACAGTCGTATATGCGGTTACGAACCAGCTCCCGCCTAAGAGTACTCGGTGGCATTTCAACTACGTTTACCGAATTCTCTAGACCCGCCCTTCTTAAGCAGCTTTTTATACTGCACTTACATCATTTGAGATGAAGGGTAGGATAAACGGAATCTTTTTATCGCTAGAGTTGTCGTTTGGGGGGCTCGGATTTTTCCTACACCTATCCCGAGCTACAGTTTTGTAACCATTAGAAATGGTTATTTGCCGTGCCAAGTTTCGGGACTTCTCTCTCTTCTTTCTTCTCTCTTACCATGCACACGTTGGTTGCTGTTCGAAGCATGTTTCTTACAAGCGTTCTTTTTGTGTGAGAGAGGTGAGAGGAGAGGTAATGAATTAAGATATTTTTACTACTTGGTTTTCGGTACCACTTCGTAATGTAGCCATTTTCGAAAGTATTCAGTTTTTCTTGAGTTTATGTATATTCTAACTGCTTTTAGGTAGTAGTATAGCGAATTACACTTGAGTAATAGACAACTCCATTTACAGATGTTTCTTACAATTGTTATGGTTAGCGCACTGGTGAAAGTTGCTATAGTGGAGGGCGAATGGCCCAAATTGCCACTCAGTGAGTACTCGGTCGTACCTGCGCTTCCTTGAATATCCTTTTTTTTCCTTTTGCATTTCGACGGCTTTCAATGCTCCATATCGCTTAAGAGATGAGCGAACTGTCCGCACAAGCAGCTCGTCCTCGTCCTTCAAGGGCGGCCACTAGTCCACTGCCGTTCGCGGAGCAAATCGGTCCTCCTTCGTTACGAGCGAGGCGAGCAATTACACCAACTCCAACAGGTCGATTTCTTATTAAAAAAGGTTGTTTTATTTGTTTCTGAATTGTGTTCCAAGTATCGGCAATATTAACGAAATTCTTAATAACTAAGCAACTCAAGTGTGCATAAGAACGCTTTTCGTTCTGCTCGAGCAGTAGAGTTGCTCGGTGGAGCCGTTCTATTCGAGAGCAAAGAGAAGAAGCCACAATTTTTGTATGAATTCTCTATCTTTACTGATATTTAACACGAATAGCTTTTCTAGTTGTGCCATATTGGCTAGGTTTACTACTGGTAAGTAGTTGGGTTTTCACTTGCGTGAATGGGCACATTTTTGGTAGCAAACTTGAACCGTCTGCGCTATACTTTCCTGTCACCTGACTTTGCAATTTTGCCCAAGCCTCAACGAGACATATCGCCTAAGTACATATGAACGTTGTACAAAACGTACAAGTTAACCCCGGTGCGTCGGAAGCAGAGTAGTATTCGGAAGGAGAAGCTGGAAACAAAATGGAGAGAAAACATGGCGTTTTTTAAACTTAGAAAATTTAAAACTACAAAGCTGATATCATCTTTTAGATTATTACTACATATTTCAGGAACATTCCTTGCCATGACTTAGAATGTGTGCTTATCACCACAATCACCACAACTCTTCAGTTGCAGTTGTAGTACTATTATCATGGCTTTATTCTAAATATATTCCCATTAATGCGGGTTTATCACTAAAATAAAGGTTTAATAAATGTAAATAGCTCTATGTGTAAACACTTAAAGCAAAGATCTATTGGTTATTAGCAATGCCACTAATGTACCTGGATCAATTTGTTAGAAGTACTTGAAACTTGATACTTGAATGGCCCGTCCTCAATGGTTGTGCGAGCCCAGCATAACCTCCATTTTTCGGAGATTTGTTGCTTATGCCATTATGGTTTCCTGGAGTCCCGAGGTCAGCCTGGCCAAGGTCTGCTTTAGGTGTTCACCACCACAGGCAGTCGCAGCCCTTGTTGATCAGAGGAAGATTTACCACCATGCGGCTTTGATACCAAGACGGTGGTGTTCGCCATCTCTGCTGCAACATCCAATCCAAAGTGAACCCGTGCCATATCGTTTTGCTCACAGAAAGACTAATGCCTGATCAACATAGGCTGATGACAGTTTGTTATAAGAATATGTACGATGCTCCAAAGTGAAGCCACCTTGGAACACTAGAGAAAGTTAGTTACTCTGCAGTCACCTCTCTAAAGAGTTCCTCACTTAGGAAGACACACAATTCAGACATTTTCTGACGGCAACTGCTGCATAAATTGTTTCTCGCTCTGGTCGCAGTATCAAGCGTGCACAGTTTAGCTTTGAAAAAACGAAAGAGCTCGAGTAACCTAATAGAGCTTATTTTATCAACCTCATATTAGCTCATCCTCGAACGAAGGTAAATTGAAATGCTCAATAGTTTGAATCCGGTCGCCTTCGAAAAAAACTATTTTCGTCATTTTTAGTGTGAAAGAATATATGTGTAACCGAGTCTAGTTCATCATTATTCGTCTAAAGAATTTCCATCTTGTAGGGTACTGAAACAACCCAGCAGTTTACCGCGTCATCGTGGCTAGGAGGTGTTCCTCGGTGTCGGGTTGCAATGTACAGCGGGGAGATTCATCTCTTTAGCAGAGTCTCCCAAGCTGAAAAGGTTTCCAGCATTTCCACCAGAAAGCCCAGCTAGGGGTAAACTAATACTGGGATCGGCCACCGTTCTGGAATCAAATTCGCTTCATGGCGAATCTCTTTCCGATCCACAAGGGTGGCGGACGCCTGGACGACATGGAGCAGACCTTGGCTAGGCTGACATTGGGACTCCAGGAAACTACAACGGCTAAACTAGCAAAACCCCGAAAAACTGGAAATTATGCTGGGTCCTGGGTAACCAGTAAACACGGGCTATCCAAGTATCCAGGTATCTAAGTAAGGGTAGTAAAATTTTTGTTTAGAAACTCGGCAATGCATACGTCTACTTTCGGATGGCAAAAATTGGCGGGAATATTTGATATCCTCTTATTCTGCTATAGCTCAACGTGAAATTGAAAACATTTTCAATGTAGCCGACGTCTCAGTGATGCTGTCATCGTTGACGGTCGCTCGACTCAACAGTACGGAGCACCACTACGGCTGCAAAAGTACGTGCTTAAAGCAGTGAACTTAAGGGCTTATTGGGTTTTTCGACAGACAGTCGTCATTGATTTCCCAGTTCATTGAGGAGATATATTCACCTCTCTCGTGAATTCTTTTATGTAGCCATTTCATAACAATTTCGTTATAGTGAAAACAAGCAATTGTGGAAATCTCTTTAATAGATCTTCCTCTTGGTAGATTGTAACAAATGGCAAGCCAATTCCAACCATAATGTCTTATGATGGACAGACTCCTGAAAATATTGTTTACGTTTCCTAGTAAATTTATAGAGTAAACATGTGTCATCATAATGAGGCTGATGTCAAATGTAACCACAACGATGCTGAGATATACAACCACAAGATGGCTGAGATATTTGCAAAACTCCGGAGCGCAGGTATCTGCGGTGAGAACAAGCGCGCAACTGTCTTTTCAGGTGACTAGCGCGTTCACCGCGGCACCAGGCGGGTCCTTCGTTTCGTCCGTCTCTCAGCTAGTCCTATCGATCAGCGCTGTCAGCAATCACCTGTCAACGGGATTGATCTGGGGAGCCCACATCAGCATTGAACCCAGATCAATCCCGTTGACGGGTGATTGCTGACAGCACTGATCGATAGGACTAGCTGAGAGACAGACGAAACGAAGGACCTGCATGGCGTGGTGGTGAACGCGTTAACGCGTTACTCCCCGGAAAGGACAATAGCGAGCTCGTTCCCTAGCGCAGACACCTGCGGCCCGGAGTTTTGCAAATATCTCAGCACATTGAAGTTATATTTTGCAATGTATACCCTGCCGTTAAAAAGAGTAGGCAGTAAATAATAAGTTAAAATAACCTGTTAGTTCACAAACCCATAGAAGGTATTTACGCACGTCCACAAATCTGTTTATCCTGCCTGTAAGGAGAAGAATCACATAATGTGGTTATTTTCATCTAGTCCAGAAAAAAAATTACAAAATGGATCTAATCAGATTCCCTATTAGGCTACCTCTAATGAATACTTCAGCAGCTGAGAAATTGAGTATCGACAAGTTAGAGCTGAACAAAGTCAAACCGACGTCGGTAAGATGACAAAGTTTGGGTAGAAGTATTCGTTTACAGCAAAATTTTAAAAACCGTAACTTTTCGAATATCTCCCGCCAGTTCTGTTCTCGTGTTGAGCCGCTGATAACAATTCACGTCATGGTTTTACGGGAACAATAAAGTACATAACGCCGTGAATTTACTACTTTGTGCGATCTATCTGGGATAAAAATTAATAAAAATCGGTGAATAATCGGTTTAAACTTTTTTTTGAAGAGTTGGATGAACCTCATAGGTGATGGATGCAAGGAAACCAGTCGGATGCAAGAAGTGTTGGGATCTCCCCAGTAAATGTGAAAGACTCGTCGTTTGGAAAAACCCATTGGTTATTGACCACCGCAAACAATCGAAATATGTCTAATGGGTAATTTTGTTGCTGTGAAATATTTACGAAAAACCGTGCCTAAGTTGATCATGATGTTAGTAGTAATCTCTTTGTACTTTTCGGAGCGGATCGGGAAAGGTGAAAATGATTATTACTCTTTGATCCGGGTAGAATGTGCAAGATAAATGATAGACGAAGAAGCTTTTTACGTTGGTCAATCCATGATGAATGTTAAACATAAATTCTTGTCAAGTATCGCTAATTCTAGCTAATTCTAGTATCTAGGTCACAAATGGGCTTGCGGTGGCCTGCCCATGTATCAAACCAATGCTCCTGTCTTCCTAAATAACATTGCTATCAATTTTTCGACCCTGGAACGATAAAGGACATAGTAAGCGCAGAATGTTGGATCGAACCACAGACCATGGGCGTATAGCAGAGTACCGCAAACTACTGCGCTACACGTGCTCCTTGCATTAGTGTTAACTCCTTCGAATTTCTTCTGAAACAACGTAGTAATATAGGTTTTTCTACGATCACGTGTTGAAGTAGAATCACAGGAATAAAAAACCGGAAGAAGAAATGAACTTTGAGCATCTCTTCGTCTATATGGTTTAAATAATGCCATTTTCCGCCACTTTCAAGCTCTGAGCTCTTCTTCCACTTTCGGCATGCTCCTAGGTGTGTCCTCCGCATTTCCGCTTATAATTTGAATGTTCCTACGTTCATATTACCATTGTTGGCAACACTGCTCGTTGCCGAAAATCAACTGTTGGAGATACGGAGATTTGGGGGAGAATGCACTTTAAATAGTGCAAGTGCTGAAAAACGAGATGAAGAAAATTTTAAAAGCTTGCTTAGTCTTCCAAGGATTGGAATGGGAAAGATACCGGATATCATGGATATTGGAAGGAATGGGAAGATAGTGCCGACGTCGTCGTAACAACCACCAACATTACTAGTATCAGGATCAAATCAGTAACAATTAGTTTTACGAATATAATTAAACTGAAATAATAATATTTAATTAAATGGAAACTATGAAGCTGATAAAACAACAGGCCTAAAACCTTCAGGTGGTTCGTGTTCTTCACAGGGCCCATTGTTTGCACTGCTGATACCAATAAGGATGGCTTTGAGGTCACTTGACTTGAACAAAGGGCCTCCACTATCTCCCTATAAATAGCGCCGACTAGCAAAGTTAAAGGATTTTATGAGTTATTTTTTAAGTTATAAAGCTAAGTTATAAAGCTTTCCATCACTTTTTTAATACTGAACAATTGTCAACTTACACGGCAAATAGACTTTCCACTGGTGAGTGTAAGGATTTCGTTAGACCAATTGAGCCTGTAGTAGGTCAGATTAACAGAGTGGAGAAGACGACGAAGTTTGTCGTATGCTGAAAGAACAACAACCTTTTTTGGCTCTATTCGCACAGTCTTTCTTTCCAGCTGCTGTGCTTACGATTAAAGCCGTATCCAGCCACCACAAAATTCGTCGGTAATTCTTCCTTTTCTGTAGGCATGCAAATTGGCACCCCATCCACATAAATATTTTCTGAGATTTCCGCTACGGCTATGTCGCGACAAAGGTCGCAGGGATTATAACCAGGATGAATGTGCATCTGTAAAGTGGAAAAGCGACCAGGACGAACGATTGGCTGTTCGAAAGTCACTTATGACAAATGCGTCGACTACTGACTTCTTTTCTAAGTTTCGAAAAAGCAAAAACACATTTGCATAATAACGGTAGAAAACGTGTTAGTGAGCTACTTTAACAATGTTGTGTTGAGGAGTTTCGTGTGAGCACGACGGTGGAAATCTGCAGTGACTTCCAACATAAACGCTGATACTCGTCTCGTCAATTCGTTCATATAGAGTGCTGAAAAGCATTGGAAATCTTGTGTTCTTCGTTTCTTATCAAATTTATTTCATTCCACTAATTAACGGCGTCAAGATCGTCACGAAAGCAGAGTAGAAACAAACGTAGCGTTGAAGCCGCTTTGACACAACGAATAGTAGTTCGGAACGTTTCTTGTGAAGCAGTGAGCAGCTGTCAGAAAATGACGTGGTGAGATCATTACTCCAGTACATGCTGATAGTAAACATCTCTTCATGTTTGATTTTGGTTGCTTGTGGTTAACATTGCCCTAGAGGTAGCGAGATCGTGAGAAAAAAGCCCTTACCCTGACGCGGGGCTCTCAGTGAAACGATCCATGGATATTCGCCTTCTTTCGCTGCCACTCCACCCAGCGATCTTCGCTGGACACTTCTGCCTGAAAATTTGTATTTGATCCTGAGTTTTTACAGCGTATTTCTATACCAGTACTGTTGAAAGCACAAAAGCGCTATTCGAGCGACTGAGTGTTAGGGAACTCCGCTTTCTTTCTGGACGGAAATGTTGCGGCTATTTTTTCAATAATTAATGGCGCGGAAGGTTTAATTCTCTACAAATCAAGCGGTTTCTCTGCTGGAAAAGAGGTCAATACAAATTTTAGGTGCTGCACTACAGAGCTATTTTTACACAAGGGCTTGAGGTCGGAGTACGCCGATCTTATATTCTTTTAGTTAAAATCATTCAACTGAACTTCTTCAAATGTTCACAGCAAAAACATTTTTTTACTTGAAGTGCATTTTTTTAAAAGATGCTGTGGAATACGTGCATGTTGGCTGATTCCACACCCACTAAGTAAAATTGTGAAAGCATAGGTTGTCTAAGAAAAGCTCCATTTTTCCAAAGACGCAAACAACCACCAACGGTTAAAAGCTATGAAAGGTCTAGCTGGGTTACCACTACATTCCAGAATTATAAGAAGATTTCAACATCTATGATCAAGACAAAGTCCTCAATTTCCAACAGAATTCATGAGCATACTCGAACATATTCACGGGTGACGTACGCAAGAGAATGAACCGGATGAAAGAAGTGCGAGGATTGACATAAGATTTGAAGACGAGAAATATAAAAACTGAATAAATAAGGATTGTAACGAATTGCCTCTGTACCCACTGTAAAAGCGTTTCCCGCAGTAAATTTGATTCCAGAATCCCTCGAGGTCGCTAATTTTACCCGAATACCCTAGCAGGTAAGAAGCTCCGTGAGAGACGGTTGCAGTAAGAAGCAGCACGACAACAATGTTCATAGCCGAAGAAGGTCCGTGCCCTCGGTGACGTTGTAGACTCTGTAAATCGCTAAGTTTTTCAGAAACGGTAAACTATACTAGACTACACATACGGCTCTCATATGAACAAGTTTGAAAACTTACCCAAGAATCTTAAGTTGTAATTTTGTAAAATGGATCTATAGGATATTTAGAACGAGGTTTACTTTTTCACAAAGCGAAATGTAAAGAAATGACTACAACTCTTCATTTATTATTTCTTACAGCAATCTGACATTTGGGAACACCGTTTTTTAATCAATAGGCATATTTTGTGCTGTAATGGGTGGATAATTGCAAGGTTAGACACAGCAGCTGGCAAAAATAGGAAAACACGAAATGTAAGAGTTGAAAGGGATAACGGGACTTAGTACAACCGGATCGAAATTTGATTCACGACAATGCCATAACGATGCTATATCACCATGAAGAACCCTTAATCAGGGTGATTTTCAATAATTTTGTTGTATTCGTGAGCTCATAGGAGAATGTTCTTGTTCTTGTGACTAACTATTCGCCTTCTTCGAAGTAGCACTGAAGTGTCCTTTAATTCTGTTGAAAAAGAAACGGTAATCATCGACGTATCAGACGATCAGGACATTTCAACACATGGGACAATAATCTTCCGTAATTTCTTCAAAAACTAAACATCATCTTAAAAACTAAGACTAAATTATTATACACAGATATCTTATACATATGGGTCGATTTATACTTTTCTTCCTTTATACAATTCTAACACGATAAAACTTACTTCAAGTGATCAATCGAAAAAGGTATTGACCATTTTTGCTGAGGTTTATTCAATGAAAGTTGCTTCGAAAAACTGTTGAATCGTTGTGTGATAGCTCGTGTGATACCGGCGGCTACACGATGCATTACTCGCCTAAAGTAGACCATATTGGAGGCGGGATTCGATCAACACCAATTCTGTTTTAGAAGGTTCCTCCGATTGAAATTCTTCATTTGAGCGGTGCTTTCTCCACTGGGTTCAACTCGATGCCAAAACGAATAGCCACGTTAGGACAACGACCAGCCGTGGACTACCGACAAGAATCAGTCCAGCTTTGAAGAAGACGATGATGTCGAGACGCTAGCCGAATAAATCTTTTTGTAAAACTTGTGCTTGCTTAAAATTCGAAAAAGGAAGGCTTACTTATTTGGATACTTCGATGGCTCGTCTTCCCTGGTGAGATGCGCAGCAGTACATTTCAGTTCTTCTGTCTCTCAAGTAGTCGTCGTCAATGGCGATGGTCTGCCGCGAACATGGTTACCTCCGCCACGTTCATACCGTACGCCTGAAATCATTGCTGTCCGCGAGAGAAGATGGTTGACGTTGATCAAAGCACTTCCACTTGTCGTTGGTCTTCTAACAAGACGTTTAAACTCTCTTGGAGTCTCCTGTGCTTGACCTTTCCATCCATGTGTCCTCTGTTCTTTTTATTACGTAACCGCCCATCACCATTTCGCTATCGATGTTATTTTTCTCGATCTCGAACATGTTGTAGATTTCGCAAATCCGAACTCCGCATTCCGGCTGGACGTTCTGTGTACTGGTTAAGCTTTAGAAGATATTCGTATGAAATGCTGAGATATTTGCAAAACTCCAGACCACAGGTGTATGCAGTGGTATCAGCTTTCCCAGCATCTTTTTTGCCTTTTTTGCCTCCACTGCATACACCTGTGTTCCCGAGTTTTGCAAATATCTCAGCATTTCATACGAGTTATATTTCGCAATATAACCTGCCATTAGGAAGAAAAAAAAAGGCAGTAAATAAAAGAGTTAAGATTGTGATTATAACTAAGCCTCAGCTTAACTGGGTTCAATGCCGATATTGGCTCCCCAGATCAACCCCGTTGACGGGTGATTGCTGATGGCAAAAAAGATCGATAGAAGTAGATGAGATACACGCAAAGCGAAGGACCCGGATGGTGTAGTGGTGAAGTGCGCTGCTCCCCGGTAAGGACAACAGCGCGTGTTCGTTCTCCACTGCATACACCTGTGGTCCGGAGTTTTGCAAATATCTCAGCATTTCATACGAGTTATATTTCGCAATATAACCTGCCATTAAGAAGAAAAAAAGGCAGTAAATAAAAGAGTTAAGATTTAGAAGATATTGTTTAAGTTTTCTTTGAGTGGGCACGGAATTGTTTACATGGTTGAGGTGTTAGCCAACGTCTCTGTTGCATAACAGTTCGCCAGAAGAACTGCTAGGCCAAAAAAGCTAAGCGAAGAGTCCAAGATCGGTTAGTTGGTCATTGGCTCCTTTGAACGGTCCGAATTCGGGCCATGCTGCTCTCCTTCTTCTCCTTAATTCTTCCATAATGTTGTTCTCCGTGTTAATTGAACGTCAAGGTAAACTAAGAGGTTTCTGTAAGCAGAGAACCATCCAGTTCGATTTGTTCACCTTGGCAACGCGGTTCTTCGTTAACTAGGTCCTTGTCCTATTTGCATGCGGTCCAATTCTCTTTCCCACTCTGTCGAGTTTATTAAGCATCGCCTCTCGCTTCACTAGCACTCCTCGAAAACATGATAATACCATATCGGTGAAACAAAGATTTGATAAAAATTTTCTACGCTTCTCATGCTTATCGGCTAACGTCGTTGTCGGTTATAGTGATGTAATCAACAGCATTGGCAATATTACGTCGCTTTGAGGAGCTGCTTTTCTTTGGCTTTGGGAGGAGGTCGATTGAAGAGGTGTATTTCTTGCTGCAGTTTCGTGGCAGCTGGATATAGCCTCGTTCGTAAACAAGCACAGATGGGAACATGTGCAGATAAGACTATAAAGCCCTGTTACTTATAGATGTAATGATGTCGATCCTAACATATTTTCTCATTCTTTCCAACGCAACATGTGAGACCGAGAAAAGTGGCGATTAATGTAATCTGAATAAATCATAAAAAGGAGGCCTTACCGTAAGCTTCCTCTCTTGGTGTCGTTTGCCATTTGCACCAATTTAAGTGCATTATCTAACCTTCTATTGCTCTAACAGTTGATTTTATAGGGAAAGGAGGCGTAACCAGCAATGATATCATGAATACTTATGAAAACAATGAATTTGCGATAGATATCCAACACGCGCATTGAGAGGTACAGGTGAGCTATTTCGGAGAAAAATAAGCCCGATTATAATGAATAATGTAGAGGAATTCATCTAGGAGATAACGTAGGTGTGTCTGACTAGCTTGGCTAATTTCCTACTTTTTTACTATTCGCTCAATACAGAATTTTGGCTGTAGACCAGCGTGGAATTCAGGTGTGGATAGATGAATGTGCCAACACATGCAGACTGTATCTGAGTTTTGGCACAGAGCACCAGGAATCTGCTTACCTGGGTCCACGAATCCACCTACGTCTCAACGCTCTAAATTTATTTTTATAGGTTCCACTTTGGAGAATACAATTTAACTGGACGATGAAGTCGACTAGGACTTCGAAAAGCGGATAAATTTTATGTTCGATTTGAGTAACACTTCTATCTTATAAGAGCTTGGAGTCACCATATAACTGTTAGTGTAAAAGAGCAGTATGTCAGTGAAACGACATTTCTAACATAATAAACTTTTATCGGACTGCGTTTGAGCACCTTCGCCTACTTCGGAGTTGTTCAGAGTCGATGAATTCAAGATAGTCATTGTGGCTATATGGGTGTTCCATTTCACACCAAGCTGAATCCAGTGGAGAGAGCACCGCTCGAATTGGGGTCTTCACTCAGTGCTATCCTTTTATACGGCAGAGATGTTGGTCGATTCCTGCAATCCAGCATGCTCCGCCTTCTAGCGGAGAATGCGTCCTGCTGCTCTCAGCAGTTCCTTTGCTGGGATACAGTGTGGCGGTATCTAGAAACCCGACCTTCATTGAAGATCATCAAGAATTATTAATAACTTCCTACATGATTTCACTTCGCACTATGAGCATTACAAGCGAAAGAAATTATGTGAGTGGCGAAGGAGAAGCAGCAAATTAAAAGAACAACTAATGAAGACTCGAATCAGATAGAGGTGTCTAGCTATTTTTTTTTCCTATCGTGCTTTAAAACTTCATGTAGGATCCCGAGGTCTATAGCTCAAAATTTCATTCGCATGGAGAACAAAGCCGTAAGTCTTATGCTGGTAATAGATGACAACAGCTTCGAAATACATTAACCGAAATTCTGCCAATCGAATTCCTTCGCTCCTAACTCAATCAGTTTATTCATGTACGAAGATGCTAAACACGAATTCAGTGAACAATTACAGCGCCACAATCATGCTGAGATATTTGCAAAACGCAAATCTCCGTCCAGATTTGTCTGGAACCGCGATTGCTCTTTCCGGTGCTCACGTGTTACCCTCTACATCACTGAAGCCCTTGGTTTTTCATTCTCCCCGCCAGTTCCAATTGAGTGTAATAATGAAACATTAAAATAAGGTAAGAATTTGCCCTTCCGAATTCAGTAATTTAGAAGGGGAAATGTACATCAGCCTCCCTTATATACATTGGAATGCAGTACTGAATAATTTTTGGAACATATTTATTTATATGGTCCTGTAAACTGATTTTCTTTAGCTGATGTGAGGTTGGTATAGGTCTTCGTTGTCGCTGTAGTTGTTGTTCTTGTTGGTCGATGGCTGACGTTTCGGTGATTTCGCCTTCCTCAGAGCCTAAACGTCTTTTATACAAGAATACTTCAATTATTCGGTGAAAAAGGGCTGAGGTATTAATGAAGATCAAACTTTCAAATAGACGCCATATTGAACAGAAAGGCCACTCACCGTGATGTTACGAGTGGGACTGGCCCACGCGCTGCTCATGTGGACTCGCGAGTGAGACACACCCAGAGGTTAAAATATCATTCTGAAATAAGGCGTCAGTTCACGTGTGATAACGAGGCATTCGTCCTTCCGGTTCATCTTTGGATTTTTGAAATTTATCCAGAACGCCTCAAGAGTTTTGCGCGTTGATGTATTTGATTCCTGCGCTAAGATCCGCACATTCACTTCAAAATCATCGCCGTTGTGCTTTTGTGCCCTATGCGTACCTAGAGGGGTGTTTAAACGGATGTTCTTTTATGCGGACACAAAGTGGTCTACCCGTTTCCCCGATTTCCCTCGCCGCATGCATTACATGAGATCAAGTATATTATACCTAAACTCATGCAATCCCCGTCTCTACCGTTAGGACAGATCATACAGTTTTCTGAGTTGCACAAACGATCATAAAGACGGTTTCGAACTAACTGGCGGCGTAGGGTGTTGGGTGGGATGTCAACAATCGTTACATAATTTTCAAGATCACTTTTTCTTAAGCACTTTTTAATGGCGTGATTTACTTCATTTGATATGAAGAGTAGCTTAAAGGGGATCTTACTTACGTCCGAAACAATATTTTAGGGAACTACCCTACGTTTTTGTCTAATCCGAGTGGTTTCTACTTCGTAGCCATTGGAAATGGCTATTTTTCGTGCCTGGTTTTTGCGATTCGTTCCTTTCCTCTTCTGTGCACACATTGGTAGCCGTTTGGAAGATGTTTTTGATGAGTGCTTTTTTCATGTGTGAAAGGAGAGAGGAGAGGTATTGAACTAGTGTGCTTTTCCTACTTAGCTTACGATAACATTTTATTATATAGCCACTTTCTGAAAACTCTATTTGGATTGTGATCTCGCGCCTTATTTTAAAATGATTTTTCGAACTGGGCTTTTTGATCAATATGGCGTTTTTATACGTTTTAACTTCATTAATTCTGTAGATATTTCACCCAATATAATGCTACTGTTACATAAAATACGTCCAGGCTCTGAGGAAGACGAAATCGCTGAAAAGTAGGCCATCGACCAATAACAACAACAGCGACAACAACGAAAACACACCAATCCCACATCGGTTCGACAAGTTTATGAGATCTTCTGATAAAGTGATAGAGTGGAATTGTTTAACACATTTGCAACAACGTGTGATTATCGGTGTTGGTTTCTCGAAACCTAATGTCTCTCCGGTTGCGGCCTGCATTGAGCTCAAAGCGCGTCGTCCATTGTAACCAGCAAAGAAGAGACAGCGAGTACATTTCTCATTAGCAACAATCTCGATGTTACTCAATAGCACAAAAATAAGATCGCTTTGGTTTTCACGTTTTTTGTATTTGTGTCTCATGTACAAAATAATACCTCTCGAAATAAACCAGACTCCTGTAATGGGTAGGCTTTCGACTGAGCGTAAAAGTATGGCAAGGAACTCAGGCCCTTCCCTAAAGTGGTCATATGCAGAGATTTCAAGGACTACATGAATGCTTCCAATGCCATGTTGAAATGAAAGCGATAGAAATTACGACAAGTTTATGTAGTTTATTTATAACACCTTGCGACTTTTCAGTTTGAATTTCATGTGTTTCCAATATTTCAGCAACTTCAACGTTTCAAAATTCTTTCTCTTTTCGGGACGGTTTATTTCCGAGTAGCGTGTGACCCTGTTCTTTCTTTTATCGACATCGCCTAGTCCAGAACGGGGTCACCAAGACGAGGTCAGCGTGAGAGTGCAGGGAAACGAGTTCGGGGTTTCCCCTTTAATCATCTACAGTCGAGTGACATCGATGCCAGTCACCGATGGTGGTTATCAGCCGGGCCGATAGTGTTGTTTCCCCTCTCGACCACTCATCACGTTTCTCCTTGGTGGTGTTGATGTAATAACCTTCTACATACGAGTTACTTATCGACTTATTTTTGATTTAGCTTAGCAGTGTGTTAAATTACTTTAGGGACATCTAGTGGGTAGTTTTACCTTTCATATATTAAAGTTAGTTTTCGGCCAAAGACTTTACAATTGCTTTTAGATTACTCTTTCCTATATTGTTTTATATTCATATTTTTTAGACATAAACAGCAAAAATGAAGTCAAAGGGTCAGCTTAAATAAGTTAATTAGCGCTTTGCTTTGCAAGCACGTTCACCTGGTTTTGCTAAGTCTCTTACCTATGTAGCTGGAAGTCTTCTATGAGTTCCTCTTAGATGCGTGAGGTGATGAACATTCTGTATTGTCATGGTCTCGGATCGTCGATCAACAATCGAATCAGCACCAGTCTGATGGAGTACTTCCGTAAAACACCGCACTATTTTGAACGGTACTGAAAGTTAAGTCCGACTTTTTTTTGTTTCAGGAGAAAAAGAAACACCTCATTTTCAAATACTATCATCGATATCTCCATTGATTATTTCTTACTACGTCGACTGTTAACGAAAATATCAACAGTAACTCAGCCGCTCACGGTCAATTACAGATTACTTTATCGTAATCCTGGCAGTCGACACGTTTTGTGGAATATCTCGGAATGGCGAAAAGATATTGAGAAACGAGTCGGTTAGTTTTCACTTCGGAAATCCTAAGAATAACCCTGAGAGTTTATGCCGTTGATCACACGAATCATTGCGCCACCAAAGCACACTAGGGCTCCGATTTCGAGGCCGTGCTGTTTTTCACAAGCAAATCGAACATAAATTTGAAATGTCCGTACAAATATTGGCTGTTGATACAAATATTTGATCGTTGGCACTTGAGCGGTCCGTCTACACAAAGAAACATGTGAAGCTCAGAAAATTTCCATTTAACTGGTACTGTGCTAGTTTGAAAGGTTTCTGCCTGAAGTCAAGAGAAATTCACGCAAGGGCATTGCTAGATCTTCACCATATGGAATTCTCTGCTCATGTAAATCACTTAAGAGCCTTCCGATCCTACCATTAGATCCCTACCAGGGCATGTGACGATTTCTAGCATTAGGTTTTCTTTACTAGTAGATGTGTTTCGAATGGAAAAATAACATTTCTTCTTAGCTTGGGTAACTCTACTGGGATAAAGATCTAAGGTAGATTGATGTCGGACACCTAGAAACACTTCCCAACCACGGTGACATTAGTATTTTATTTTTGAATAGTTTGTTCCACATATAATAATGTTAAAAGCGCTCAATATTTTTTTCTTACTTTAAATGTTGAAGGTTTAATCTATGTATTTCAGATGGACAAGAATGGGTGGTTATCGCTAGTAGTGCCGGGTGCCACGCAGCACTTAACGCGGCAAGGAATCGACCTGGTAACATCAAGGCTTGTTCATTTTTGATTAACGAGGACTTTTAATAAAAATGCTACTTAGATGACCCATTTTCACAAAAAGTGAGAGTCTAGTACTTCCATTTCCTTCGTAATCCTGCATAGTTAATCGATAGAGGTCATTAGATTCACGCATGTATTCGCATGCTGCTTTATGCTTGCTATATGTCCACTTCTCTTCGTTAACATGCTGAATGTTTTTCGAGTATCGTTCTTTTTCTGGAAGCACAAGAGAGCTATGTGAGGACATTTGCTTTTCCTCATCACCGGCAGCTGTCATCTCTTTGCAATCAGTACTGGGCTAACCGATCGGGCACTATCGGTACACCTGACTTCGAATACTTTGATAAAAAACACGACTTAATCAGCTGCTTCTCAAGCATCTCTACAGAGGGAATGTTCGTGCCGTCTAACCCTATTCTAACGAAAATACACCTAACCTTCAGGTTATTCGAATTTGCAACCGCCAAATACTGTTCATACGTGTTCTTTAGTAAATTCAAACAAAAATTTTGAGAAATCTCAAAATTCGAGTGAAAATCGAAGGAAAAACTTTGTTTCTAGGGATTATTTTTATTCTGCCCTGGTGTCTCGTTATCATTCGACTATGTAGACAACATAATTCCCGGAGGTAGTGTTGTTCTCAGAAATGGCCAAACTCTTATCCATCCGGCTTCGCGAGGAGGACATGAAGCGTTAGTGGATCGTGAAAATCTTCAACACTATTTGGATGTAAGTGACGTGATTAACTATTGCCTGTAACTATTACATAGCAATGTTTTAGTTTCTATTTACTCCTTATTATTTTTTCAGGGGAGGCTACAAAGTAAAATACAACTACCGAGATGTTGATACATCAGCAAAACTCAGAACCTCAGATGGACATCGAACCCGTGATTACCGCACCAGGGGCTGATGTGCGATCCACCACATCAATATGCTTGGTTCTGCTAACCATTCGTGTTGACGGCTGATTGCCGACGGCACTTAAAGAGCAAAACTGGCTGATGGAGAGCCAGAACAAGCGCATCGGTTGGTATGGTGGATAGCACATGAGCCCTCGGTAAGAGTAATGGCGGGTTTGAAGCACAACTGAGGTTTCGAATTCTGCTCACATCTCAGCATGCTTGTGGTTGTATTACGTAAGACCTAATAAAATTTCTACGGTTTTTCCAATCCATCAGAATTTCCCTTTCGGTTTTCTACAATGAGACCATACAGAAACTTAAAGAGTAATACAACCACAACGTTGCTGAGATATTTGCAAAACTCTGGACCGCAGGTGTCTATGGTGGGGAACGAACGCGCTATTGTCCTTTCCGGGGAGTAACGCGTTCACCACCACACCATGCGGGTCCTTTGTTTCGCCTGTCTCTCAGCTATTTCTATCGATCTTTACCAAAATTTCTACGGTATTTCCAATCCACCATCTTTGCCAAAGATCGATAGAAATAGCTGAGAGACAAGCGAAACAAAGGACCCGCATGGTGTGGTGGTGAACGCGTTACTCCCCGGAAAGGACAATAGCGCGTTCGTTCCCCACCGTAGACACCTGCGGTCCAGAGTTTTGCAAATATCTCAGCAACGTTGTGGCTGTATTTCGCTTAGTACCCTGCCGCGAAATTATAGTAGGCAGAAAATAAAAAGGTATAACATTAAAGAGTAATGTTTCTCGTACCACCTCTTTAGTATTTCTGGACCATAATTCCTCATAAAGACAACGTTCCCACTTTGTACTTTTATTCGCTTTTCATATAATCTCCTATGGAATTCGTAGCGATTAGTAGCGAAGAACGTGACAATAATCTTACCACATAGGATCTAACATGAGTGGGGACGATTGGCCAATGTGGATTGGTATTAATATATTTTCTTCCTAATTATTCATTTTACCTCGGAGGTTCTCTGCTGCACGTTGTGTACTGAATCGATAGCTCACCCAATGTAGATCGTTGTACTTGGGGTTAAATCAGAAAAGATATTTACCCTAATAATATGCAAAAAGTGTTTTTTGAGCGAGTTCGTTTGTCAAACCACAGACACTGTTGCAGGTGAACAGGTAACAACAATAATAAAAATACTGCAGATCAGGACCGTACTAAAACATCCCTGCTGACTACCTTTTATGCCCATATAGTAGCGCAAAGATTTCCTATTCATAAGAAGAGTATACTCGTATGTAGGATGAAGGGGCCATATAGGCATGCATGGGTCGGTTTCAATTCACAACGAGAGCAGCAAAGAATTTGTTGTCGATTGGATGCAGCAGACACATGTATCCATGTGTTGTATTGTAATATTTCAGAATTAATCTGTGGTTTTCTTATCCTCCTTCCCATTCTCTTTTCACAGAGTTGCGTGACAAAGACAGACGGACCGATTGATATTCGGTGTCCAGTGAGCATTATCCACGGAACGAAGGACCAGGTAAGAAAAATTCTAATAGAGTTTTGTCACTGCTATTACGCAAAGGGAATAATAGATAAATATGAGGAGGACGCGTAAAGAACTGCAGCCAGTTTAGCAATTAGAAGGATGACTCAATATCAACACCACCAAACTTTAATACCTAATCAACAACGAAGAACATCGAGACAAAAGTATAGAAAATGCATATATCCATGTAAATGCAACAAGAATAGAAGAGCTACTTACCTATTTGGCTTTGGGTGAACTCTAAAAGTAGAAATCATCTGGACATACCAGGAAGCGTGCTCCATCCATGCATTAAAATAAAGGATAAAACTCTTGGCGTTGATCTAACCCTGTGGGATGCGCTCTGCGTTCGACTTCGTTAAGCATCGTTGGAGGTTATTGAATGTATATTCGGCCTCTATAATGACATGCGGTGGCTTAACGATGTATCCGACCAGTGCTGGTAACCTCGCAGACGAGTCTGGTACCAATTTTCCGACCTCGGATAGATGGAAGGGGTGGTGGGGCAGGGGCGCTGGGATCGATCCCATACGTATTGCAGAGCGCATCTGACCACTGCGCTACACGCGTGTCCATTTATTACCAGTGCTAGTAGGAACGAGTTGTGCCGATGGTGCAGCATAACACTTACTCTATAATTTCTCTTCTTGGCTAATCTGCTACTTACCATCCTTCTCTTTTACTCGGTTTTTCTACATAGACTATAGTTCAGCTTCATTGGTTCTCAAACCACTTTATTAATTGGAAAATAGTTCCCCAAGGAAAATTTCAACAATTTTAAATCGAAAGTGTTACGTCCAAATGCTCAAAAACAAGGAAAACTGCAAAGAAGTTCTGCTTGCAGTCAATTTCCGAGTGCATCTACTAGAATTTAGTTGGTGCCGTACGAAAATTCAATACTACTATCAAAGCGGCTACTCTCCTCCGACATCGATCTCACTTTGATTCCAGGAGGATCACATTTCCTTAACGTAAGAACATCTGAAGACGTTCTAGTTAGATATTACTGCAGAGAAAAAAGTAGTGGTCAATACACAGGTGGATGAGTTGATAATCGAGAAGTTGGAACGATTCCTCAAGACTGTGGTACGGTACAAAGAGCGCTTAAGGACACAAATCCATGCTAGCCTATGATCTTCTTAATGTACGTAACAGTATGTTGAATCAATAAAGCTTTCAAGATATAGAATCTAGGTGTTGAATCTTATAAAGACAAGTGAAAAAAAACGAATACAATGTCGTCACTTTTTATTTACTACCTACCCTTCTTTAATTGCAGGGTATGTGAAATATAACCATAATGATGCTGAGCTATTTGCAAAACTCTGGACCGCAGGTGTCTGCGGCGTGGATCGAACACGCTATTACCCTTTCGGAGGACTAATGCGTTCTTTGTTTTGCCTTCCTCTCGGCCGCATTATTGACCTTATTGTATTATTGAAGAAGAATATAACTCCTACGTGATATATACTCCATTCGTTTGGTAGTGTTAGTAACAGCGCAGCAAACATCCTACCCCAACCTTACACACTTGCCACCACAAGTCAGTTATCGCTGAGCAGAGACCCAGTATGCAGCCCCATTTTTTGAGGCGATTCAAGGCAGTGTCGCTCTTAATCAATGCCCAACCATCGGAGTTGACACCGTTGTAACTGCTTAACGAAGATTTGGATTCGTTTCCAAATTTGTTAATAAATGTAGAGATCAGACCTTCAGCAATCGCGAGGTTTTTAAACAGCATACATTTACTTCCATAAAAAACACAATACAATACAACGCTAGCTGACATTTCGCCTTCTTCAGAGCCTGGAAGGGTATGCTGGTATACAATCTACTAGGCCAAACGCTTCAATGACACTTACAAAAAGACGAAAGACTCTTTGGTAATTACACCATCAACAACTTCTTGAAAAACCCACCGCTTTTTCGTGACTTCCAATGAGGAAGTTTAGAACAGCTGATTATAGTCGCATGTGGTTGACGACTGCACCATTTCACATCAGAGATTGATGCGAACATACGGGATCAGGTCCCGTATGACCTCCGGGCATTCATCCCTGCTATTCATTGCAGGGTTTTTGGCATTGATCCAAAAAGCCTCAAGAAGTTTTCGCGCTGGTGTTTTGGACTCCTGTGCAAGGATATTGACTTTTACTTCAAAATCGTCTCCGCTACGCTTTTGTATCCTATGCGTGCCTAGTGGGGTGCTTCGTCTTAGTTT